GGAGGAGCGGGCGATGCGGGAGGGGGGCGAGTGGGGGAATGGGGATCGGGTAGCTAGGGTTCGGTCGATGGGGGGTATGTGTAGGCCGAGGTGGGCCGGCCTGGCGGGGAGATGGCCCAGTTGGGCCGGTGGCTTGCTGGGCCAGAGCCCAGTGGGAGGGGGGGGGGTTCTCCTTTTTTTTTGTTAGTTTGTTTTTCTATTTTATTTCTTTTCTTCTTTTCTGTTTTATTAAATTTTGATGTTTATGAAAAACCCAAGTTGCACCTAAAATATTTTTAATACTTATGCCACTACCGCAATTAACTTGGCACCTAATATAAAATCATTTGAAATTGTTTATTATTTTATAATCATTTAACTAATTGTTTTGCTACTATTATATTCATTTTGAGTACTTACATATTTTATACAAGTGTGGTTTCTTCATCATAATTACCTACGCATTATTTGGCACAACCAGAACATTTTAGTTTTATTATTTGAAAACTTTTATTGTTTTCTTTTATTTAAATTTTGAATTTGTTTCGGTTCTGAACTATCAAGAGTTTATCACAGTAACCGTGGTGACGTGGCATCATTAGCGGGGAATCACTGTAGCTTAATTATCCGGGCGTCACAGGTGTCTAGCAATATAGTCGCTAATCAACCGGGGCTATTGCCTGGTACAAATCGTGGTGATTACCTGAGTGATGATGTAAAGTTTGAAACGTTAGAGGCAGTAGAGATCTTCAGATACGAGTACGGGAAGCCTCTCGTCAAAACTAATCATTCTCCTCTAACAACGATGATGCGAACATTGCATGAATGGTACATGGACACCTGCAGGAAGTCTAGGAAGGATAGTATGATGGTGAGAATTAAAGGTGAGCATGATCTCATTGGAGTTGAGTTGCTGCCTGTTGAATTTGTGGAGTTATTTCAGTTATTCAATCAAGACATCCTCGACAAACAACTCATGACTTGCTACTGTCTGTAAGTATTACTTTTGTAGTTAAGTCACTATAGCTCAGCTCTTCATTGCATGTATATATAATTAGCCTCACTATATTATGCAGATTGAAGATCATCGAATGCAAAAAAGGACAAATCTATGACATTGGCTTCATTAACCCAAATACCATAAATGAATGGTCGGTTAAGAACAGAGATATTGAGGACAACTTGCTACAATCGTTACTTCAACATCAAAACAAAGCTAGAATACTCTTTCCATACAACTTCAAGTGAGTGTTACTGTCATGTGCATATTCGGTTTCGCTTACTCGAGGTTATAGTGATGTAATTGATGAGTTATGCATGCGCAGCTTCCACTTTATTCTGCTAGAGATTAAGCTTGACCGCGAAATAATAACTGTCTTAGACTCGAGACATAAAAAACAAAAACCTCAGCGCCTACGAGCTTCTGACGCGTGGTTGCCTTTTGGTCCCGGTTTGTGTTACCAACTGGGACTAAAGGTCCTCCTGCCTGGGTGCCCCGGAGCGGCCACGTGGAGCCCCTTCTGTCCTAGTTCGTAAGCAAACCGGGACTAAAGATTTTGAGTTTTGGTCCCAACCCTTTTGTCCCGGTTTCAGAACCGGATCTAAAGGCCCTCTGAAACTGGGACTAGTTCCCTATTTTAGCAGTCGCCCGCCGAGGAGCCTGGCTTTGCCCATCTTGGTGATCTTAACGAAGTTGTTTTCTTGAAAGGTCCGTGGGTTATATACAAATTTCCGGGAGAGCTGAAATGGCAATTTAATGTGATGTGCTACTTGCTGCAGTCTAATTCTGCACCTTTTTTTAATGTAAATCTTCTTAGTGAAGGTTAGTTCCAACACATGCACCGATCTGAAGTTATATTCATATTTATGTTTCCGAGGTAAAATCATATACTCCTTTATGAAATATAGGACACCAATTTTATGAAATATTTCCCGCAGCAACACGCGGGGAATCATCTAGTTCGTGTTAATCTAGCACTACTACTCCCTCCATTCTCTTAGACTACCCACAGTGGGAGTAACATAGGTGGTAACATCAAACATATCTAAACAAAACATATGATGTGGCAAGTAATTAATGAAGAAAGAGAGACATGTGGTAACATAGCTAGTTACTCACAGTAACATCACACATACCAAGACAAGATGAGTCTATAACCTAATAAATGAAGTGTTGCATGACATCACACGTATGTTACTCCCCACTATAGAGGTAGTAACATAGACTATAGTAACATATGCATGTTACTAGTTTAAGTTACTCCCCATTATGGCTAGTCTTATACAAGGCCACAAACTCAGGTTACAAGTATCATGATAAAATTTAATGACTGCTTTGCAAGTCAACTTTTTTTGTTAACTGAGATCATTAAGGTTGGTCGTAATGCGAGTATCATAAGTGGTATCATGCATTTCACCTAGACTTTTTGGATGACGTGGCACACAATTAAGTGAGAAAAGAGAGGATGTGGTATCATATTAAATGTTGTAATAGTTTATGCCATGCATGGCAATTAATAAGGCAACCTAAGATACTAACTTATGATACTATGCATTACGGAAGTAGTATAATAGACTAGGCATATGATACTACTCCCTCCGGCTAGGTGAGTAAGTCATCTTAGGTTGTGCACCGTGACCAAGGAGGAGGGGAAAACAAGAAAACTTAATGTTCATTTGCTAATTAATAGCATTGCATGCAATGAACTAACCACTGCATGTCGTGTTTGATAGTCTCAAGTCATTAAAAGAATGCACACCCCACATCTCTCATTGGTTGATATGTCAAGAAACAAGAAACGAGGTAGAATTTAATGCACCGCGCCTAAGTGTTTTGGGATTATTTGGTTTTTGTAAGATGACTTACACACCTAGACGGAGGGAGTAGTATATGATACTCCCATTACAACCAGCCCGCCACAAGCATACAATGAATGAATGAGAAAGAAGTAACTAAGTGTCATTATGACTATATGCATGTAAGTATTAAAAAATTGCTAGTACAAAGAAACATCATTAATTTTTGCCTCAGTTATTGGGAGTATATAATATTGATCTAGTAGTAGGTGCTGCAGAAGCTGCTTAAGGGGGAGATGTATTAAACTATTAATGGCACAATTTTAGATCGCCTGCTATTCCGCCGTTACCGCGCTGCAATAGCTGCTGTGGAGCCTCCCTGATAGTGATAAGCTATGGCGGGCACCGCGAAATCCTCCGAATACCTCGCTAAACAACACCAAGTTCAGCAAGAACATATTAAAATCATGTCTTCGGATTGCAAAAGTGCCCGCTATAGCCACTATGTACCGAAATAGTTGTTGACAGATGCCGTAGTGCAATCGTTTCTCCCATGGTTCGAAACTTTGATTAAGGGCAAGCATCCTTACGGAGGGCCACACAAGGAGCTGAAGGGGAGGGTTTAGAAGAAGAAAGAGGAGTTGTATGATCTGCTGGCCGAGGTGGAGGAAAAATGTTCAGGACGAGCTTCCAAAATTTGAACCTCAGATCTCATCTGTCCGTGGAAGTGCAGCCACAAAAGCGACCTCGACTGGTAAGTACCAAAATTGCATGAGCAATCTC